TATATATATATATATACACACAATCAGGTATCGCTATTCTGATTAAATGTACGTTGCTTTGGCTTTTCAACAACGTAGAGGTCATATTAAAAGAAACTTGGATGTAAATAAACGATTTTTTACGCCACATACTATGTACTGAACAGCAATAAACGTCGTGTAAGCCAATAAAAAGACAATATCCCACTTACCGTCATAAAGAAATCGCAACAGGTGGAATGAAACGCTGATAGCATAAAATAGTTTTTCCACGTATTGCTTCCGCAGTTTTCTGTCGAGAATCTGACGTCCCACGAACAGGCGGAGCGAGCGGTGCGCACCTGTGCTTTGACAACACGCCCAGCACGCGCTCTCGTCTAGACGGTTACCATAGTGCGCAACTCTCGCGAGATTCACAGGGACTTGAGTCGCGCAATAACAAAATGAATCAGAACAAATTTCACATTCATAAATGCAAGTTTACTAAAAAAAAAAAAAGTTGCTTTACTTCGATTACCAGGAAGAGGAATCTGGGAGGGAGAAACAAATGTAAAATATTAAAGTTACATGAACATTGTATTTTATTTAGACGCTATCTATCTATCTATCTATCTATCTATCTATTGATCTATCTATCCATAAATGAATAAATACAATGTAAAAATTAAATTGAAAAGAATAGAACAAAAAATTAACAGACCTATTTAGATATGCAAACTGTTGTTTGAATTTACAATTTTATTCCACGTGATCTACACCTTCTTAAAATATTTAAACTTTTATGTATTTTCTAACTTGTCAATTTTACATAACCAATCTTTCATAGCAGTAATTATTTTCTGTAAAAAAATATGCAACATTGTTACATTCAATTATTAATATAATCAGTTAACACGTGTAAACAATCATCTGTTAAGCATGATGCAATTATGTTCCTAATTAAAATTTAACAAATAATGTAATGAAATTTTTTTTTATTTTTTATAGGGGACACTGGGTTGGTCAACAGACTGTGATGAGGGTCTCTGTGTCTGTGAAGACTGAGAACACTAAAAAAACATATAAAAAAAAAAGATTACAAATATAGGCCTACTGTGTGT